CGCTCGCGGCTGCCCCGCGCCTGCCCTTTGCGCCGCCGCTCGCTATCGAGTGGATTCCTCTCTCTTCATTGCACCCTCCAAAAACCCATGAAAATCGATGGCTGCTCCAGGCCGAGCGGCAGCTCCCGGGAGACAGGTCCCCTCGCTGCGGGCAGGATGTGCTCGGGATAAATCACTGCTTTCGCTCTGCAGGAACCTGCGAGCGCCGCCCTCGCTCGGCTCCCCAAGCCCCTCCACATCCCGGCTCTCGGCCTTCCCTTCCTCCGGGCAGGGATGCTCCCAATCCCTTCACCATCCCGTAGCCCTTTGCGGGACCGTCTCCCAAGTGTCCCTCTTGTCCTGGGAACGCAGGGCTGGACCCGCAGCCCATTGCAGCTTCTCCAGGGCAGGATCTCCTCCCTTGGCCTGCTGGAGATGCTCTTCCCGGCGCAGTCCATGGCTCTTCCCGGCCTCTGAAGCGTTGCTGGCGCATGCACGAGGGCCGAGAGATCCCAGTCCCGCGTGGCAGGGCCCCTTGCTCATGTCTTAGGGCGATCCCAGTGGGAAAGCGGCCCCGGCGCCTCCATGCCGGTGGAAGGGGATGAGGAGCAGCCGCCCGCAGCGCCCTCGTCGCACACCGGAGCCGGCACCCTTTGAAATATTCATAGGGCTCTGCTCACTGTAACGCCGTGATGAGATTTTTATCTTAATCTGCTTCAGCCGCGAGGCGTATGCTTCATTAACGCCTCAAATACCTTATGGTCACAAGCATTATCCGGGAAAAATGGACTTGTCAGCTGTAAAAAATACAACATAATCTACCCGAGTTTTCTGGTTAAGTGAACGGGACACGAGGACTAAGAAGACTTGGCGCGGGAGATGTAAAGAGGGAGATCGGTGGCTGCGACATCCTGCTTGGACGCGCTGTGTCCCACGGGATCCGCCGCCAGCGCCGGGCTGCTGCCCCGCGGGATGGAGGCTCTGGATCTCCAGTGCCCTGCGCTGCCTGGCACGGCCAGGCTGATTCCAACGGCTCCCAGGGGGTTTTCCCATTGTCCAGCAGCACAGAGGGATGCGCTCGGCACCTGCACGGTGCCCAGCACGTCCCGTGTCCCCGCTGTCCCTGTGTCCTGCTGCAAGTCTGTGCCCATGGAGTCCTGGGGCTGCTGGCCACCATTGGAAGCACAGCTGTGAACATGGGGCTGTGGGAGCCTCCCGCCACCCCGTATCCTGCATCCCGTGGGCACCGGCGCTTCACAGACCACCCTGAAGCTCCCACCTCGCTGCTCCCATCCCCAAGGACAAAGGGAAGTAGGTGGAAATCTGTTTTTTGGCCTAAACATAGACAAGTTTTGACCTACCCCTCAGGCACCGCTGTGCCCAGGGGAGAGCTGAGGAAAATTGGTACACGGGTCCGGCAGGAACCAGACCCCGCTCCCCGCAGCCTCCAGGGAAAACCACACCTCGGCAGCGGGGCTGGGAGCTGCTTCTCCATGGGCCTCCTGCCTCCCCGGCTCCTGCCCTCGGTTCCTTTCCGCAAGTTTTCCTCACTATCAACCCTCTTGTCTTTGCATTCAGTGTCCCATTAACAGGAAAAGACCCATTTGGGAGCCAGGAGCCTCCTCTGCGCCACAGACATTCCCGGTTTCCAGCGCCCCGGGCGCCTGGGCTGCATTGACCGGCGCCGCGCGGGGCTCCGGATCCCTCCGCTCCCGGGGCGCCGCTCTCCTTTCCCACTTTCTCCTTTTCCACCATTTCTCTTGCAAATAAACCAGGAACCTCAGGGTACCTGCATGGCCGCGTCCTCACGTTGCACAGGGGGACACTGTTCCCTGTGGCTCCTCAGTAACGAGGCAGACGTCACCTACAGCCTTTATTAGCCAGGAATCACACTCCTAGGAACGCAGGAAAGAGCAGACACTGGTGCGAGCGGGGCCCTAAACAAGGGGCCGCAACCGAGCGCAGGGAAAACAATCCCTTTTCTCACCAACGCCTGCGGAAGGTGCTCTGGCTCCTGGCTAACGTGGATTTACTTCTGGCACCCACCAAAGGTGACCAATAAAGAAATGCAGAAAGGAAAACAATGATTTTCTTCCCTAGAAGGAACAAAAACGGAGGGTTTCCCATCTCCTTCTCAGCAGAGTCGTCTACGTTTTATCTCGAGGGAATTGTGGTGGGCTGGTGAGTTCAGTGAGACCCAGTGGAGCTGGAGACGCTGGCTCTCCCGACCCCCGTTCCGGAAAGTTGTTCTCCAGGCAATGCAGCTCCCGGCGCTTCCCAAACAGCAGGAGCTGCAGCAACTTCCAGGCCCTTAACGCAGGCGTCCGCCAGAACCAGAGGAGACCAAAGTGGGCGATTCCATTATTAAAAAGAAAGGGATATGAAGTCCTTCCAGGTCACTTTCCCAGGCATCCGAGCGCGCTGGGGCGCCAGGCAGAACCGCATTCCCAAGGCCAGGAGCGCTGCGGGACGCCAGCATCCTGCAGCGCCGCAGCCCTCCTGGCGCTGCCACGGAGCAGCTCCATAGTTCGGTTACTTCATTCCGTTTGTTTCTGTGTTTAATTAATGGCTCTGAGTAGAAGTCAGTTAAGTGTCGGCCGTGTTAGCTGCCCCACGGCGGGATCCTTCCCCCTGCCCAGCCGCGTCACGCAGGGGCTCCGGGCTGCGAGGCCGAGAGGACGGCGGCGCCGCACGGGACAGGCAGTGCCAGAGACAGGAGGCTCCGGGCATCCTGTGGGAGTCAGGGATGGAGCAGAGCTGTGGAATGAGGCCGAGGAGCCCTCCCTGCCCGTGTGTCCGGCGGCAGCTCCCGCCCCGGCGCTTTGTCTGGGGCCCGCC